CTTAACCACTGCACTCATGGCTGGCTCTGGCTTGCCACTTGCTTTTGTACTGCCTGCAAGCCAAGAATTGTTTTAACAGATGAACGATTGCAACTGACCTCACGATAAGAAAAAATAACTTTGAACACCAGTTAAATGAAAGTGAATCACTCCCCAAAAAGAATTATTTTGAATTCCATCCAAAAACAGGTAGAAATTTATTCTATCCTTGTTACATAAGTATCTTCATATCTTCAGAACTAGCCTTTGTCCCACAGAAACTAAAATGTTTATTATTGGCTTTTTATGGAAAAAATATTTGCTGATGTTTTGTCTACACTATTGCTTCTAATGCTATAAACTTTCTTGGATAAAACATAAGCCTTTTTACATAGCACATGTGATAACCAAAAAAAAGTGTGTGTTTTGGAGGGGGGGGTGTGAGCGGACTCGATGTTTCTTATTTAGATGACCCTAAATTAGTTAGAATGAAGGGTAATATAGAAGATGGTCATAGAATTCAAATTCTAAAATAAGAAAGCAAAGAAAGTTTGAAAACTTATTCCTAACCAGCTCAGAACTTTTTTAAAGTTCATATGATTATCATGGACAATATGATTTGTGTAATTTGAGCAACTAAATTTTTATGTAAAACCTAAACATACCTGTCTTAGCCTTCTAGGGCAGCCACAGCGAGATATCATAGATTAGGTGGCTTAAACAACAGAAATGTATTTCTCACAAGTCTGGATGGTGAAAGTCCCAGATCGAGGTACAGGCGGGTTTGCTTTTTCCAGAGCCTCTCTTATTTGACTTGCAGGTGGCCACCTTCTCGTGTTCCTCACGTGGCCTTTCCTCTGTGCATGCACAGACCTTGTGTCTTTCCTTCTTTTTCTAAGGCACCAGTCATACTGAAACTGGGCCCCACCCTCATGTCCTCATTTAACCTTAATTATCTCTTTGAAGGCCCCATCTCTGCAGGTAGGGACTTCAACATATGAATTTTGAGGGAATAGGATTCAGTCCAAAGAGACACATATGTTATATATGTATAAAGTCATCTGTAAAATCAGGTTACATATTATAATGGATTGGCAGTATTTTCCTCCCTCAGTGATATATAAAAACATGTTTATTCTGATACTCGAATGCATCTTAGATTGAGGGAAACATGGTAGCTTAGAAGACAAATAATGCTGAAAGGCTTTTAACAAGAAGTAAGTCTCCAGGCCCAGCTTTCTCCACTACCCAGTCTTAGTTCCTGGAGGCAAACCATTTTTAAATCTTTGGGTGTTGTTTGTCTAAGTTAATAAGTAATATGATTATAAGTATATTTTTATTTAAGTCAGTAATCAGTTATATACGTATAACTCAGCAACGTATAACTCAGTGGGATTTTATTCCACTTTCTCATATAACATTTTATTTTCTGTATTTAAAAAGTATCTGATTTTTCACAATTACTTATTTTTAAAATGTTTTCCTTAAATTTTCGAACTGCTCTACCAGTTTACCATATCATCACTAGATTTCCCCCAGTGCTAAAACAAATAGGGTAATGTGCCAAAGGCTCCTTTTCCTCTGGAGATCTTGCAGACTTTGCGTCCTTGCAGATTCCCACGTCCTTGTTCCCTTTCTTGACTGTGGCCAAGCTGCATGGCGCTCTCCTCCGTCAGATCTCTAGCTTACCTCTCTTCCTCTTTCTTGGTTTATGTCTTCTACTATCACTTGTCTTCTAGCAACTTCCTAAGAAAAGGTACACAGGAAGTATATTTTCCAAGAACTTAGATAATTGAAAAGTCTTCTTTTCATCCTTGCGCTTAATGAATTGGTGTATATAGAATTCTAGGTTGAAACTCATTTTCTTCAGAATTTTAAAGCTATTGCTCTAATGTCATCCAGGGACTTGAATGACTATTGAGAAGCCCAATGCCCTTCCGATGCTCATCCTTGTGTTTATGACCTCCTTTCCCAACCGGAGCTCTCTTCTCTCTATAATACTCTAAATGTCATGTTTTTGTGCCATGGTGAAGGGCTTTTCAGTCATAATAATAATTGCTACTAATTGCTACCAGGAACTGTAGCAGAGAAGAGAAAGTAGCAAGCAATTAGAGTGAGGTAAAGAGAACAGACAAGATCATACAGTTCATGTTAAGGATTTTGGATTTCATCGTAACTGTACAGAAACCCATAGGAGGAATTTAAGCAGAAGAGTGATACTGAATTTGCATTTACGTAAGATCACCCTGACTATGAAGTGTGTGTAACAGGTTATAGGGGGCAAGAGTGGAAACAGGAAGATCAGAATTGAATATGCTGATGTAGATAGTGTGGGTTAAAAATTATGATTTGGATTAGAATGATGGCAGTGGCCATGGAGAGAAGCAAGTTAATTTACAACATATTTTGGAGATAAAATCTAGAGAATTTAATGACATATTTGATATAAAATAGGGGGAAAGAGAGGGGACCCTAGATTTCTGCCTTGAGTGCATAAAGGTACTGGAGGAGGTGATTTAGAAGAGTGAAGAAGAATTGGGGGAAAGATCAAAAGTTCTATTTCATGTATCCTTCTCTTTGAAACCTTCCTTTAGAGACATTATTTATCTTTCTGACCTTTCTTTCAGGGGTTTCATTTTTTTTTCCTGCCCCCAAATGCAAATATGTTTGAACGTGTTCCTTAAATGTTCTCTTCTTTCCTTCCTCAATCATTTTTCAATTTCACCTGACCCTAAATTTCAACTTTATGTAGATGATTCATTAATCTCTCTCTCTTGACTCAACCAATCTTCTGACCTATGGTTCACGTTTTCAGTTGTTTTCTGAGCATTGCTCTTTAGATTACCCTTTTGTACCTCTAACTCAACTCAAAATCAAATTCATTTTCTCCATGTCTACTGTGGGTCTTATCTGTATTGTTGTCACTGCCATCTTCCCAACGGCTGAGACCCATGGTCAACATGCACATCTGCTGCCTCATTGTCCCTTCCTTCAGATGTTATGGTATCATCAGTGGGACCTATTATATCTTGTGTTTGTACCGACGGCCTAGACCCATGGTCAACATGGACATCTGCTGCCTCGTTGCCCCTTCCTTCAGATGTTATGGTATCATCAGTGGGACCTATTATATCTTGTGTTTGTGCCCTCTGTCTTTTCTGGAAGTGGGTGCCTGGTTGTAATTCAAGCCCCCCTTATATTTCACCAAGATTATTTTTTAACTTCCTAGCTATCTTCCAACCTCCAATATCTCTCCCATTCTATGAACCAGCACATGGCCTTTAGAGTAATAATTTTAAATGTTAATTCTAATCCTTTCACTTCTAATATCTTCAATGATTCCATTATCTTCAGAGGAATTTCAAAATTCCTTAAAAATATATTAAATGCCTCTTATAATCTGACCCCAATCTATTTTCTCCCCTGATTCCCAATAACTTGAGTTTCTCACTATTCTGAAAATTTGTCTGACATTCACAACCCTGTGATCTAACTCATGCGATGTGTGCTGCCTTCACCTCTTCATATTGAAACCCTTTTTCCTTTAAAGTATAAAATAATTCCTCTCATGTCTCCAACTAGAAATAAGTTCTTCTTCTTATATCCCCCAATAGAATACAAGTCTCCAATGACTGAAAAGAGATATTGTTCATCTTCTAATCCTCAAGTGCACCTAGTACAATGCCTTGCATGTAGCAAGAACAGAGTAAATATTCAATTGAATTGACATATTAACTCCCTTTCTGATGAGGCTGCGATGTGCCAAGTAATCTAGACAAATGCAATTATGTGATGACTTTGAGCTTAAAGGTAGATAATATTGAAATTCATGTTTTTTATATGAGCTCTTTATAAAACCGAAATCTCTACTTCAATATGAATGGTCCTTTATGAGACAATTTAAAATAATAATAAATAAATAATCCCTCAAATTTTCTGTTATTCAGATTTCCTCCATTTTTTACACCTTCTGTTTCTTGGGAACTCAATAAAGAATGGACTATTGATACATTTAAATGCTGCGATATAATCAAAAAATTTACCTACCAGTTTCTCTATCAACCAAAATAAACACTAAGCTATTTAAACATTAGATTGATTTTTCTGAATTGAAAACTTTGTCTTATCTGAAATTTTATGCAAGTTAGCAAGATGTGACTATCTCTAAATTTCAGCTAAATTCCATCAAGCTAAATTTTGCCTATGCTTTAACGATGGTAGTAAGTCCAGTAAAATGAATGAGAAATTGAGAAATGGGATGGCTGCAGTAGATATAACCTAAAGCAAAACTATAACAAAATCCCTATTCATTTTCAATCAAAATTTTCTAGATAAGTCCTTAAAAGTAAAAGAGAAAGCTGCTTCCATTTATACACTGTGCCTAGTTAATTCACCTTTAATTTTTTTTCCCTAAACAGAAGTTTCTAGTCTTTAATTCTCTAATAGCTGCTTTACTTTTTCTGCAAAGATTAGAGAAATGTCAGACAACTGAAGACTGATAATGCTTACAGATTATTTCAAAATCATTTTAAAAATAACTCTTAAAAACTTGTGAAGAGATCATTTTATTTTAAATGCCCCCCAAATCATTTTTTATTTCTATATAGCTGAAAAAGTTATCAAAAATGACATATAATCTTATCTCAGGATAAAAGTTCAAAATGATTGCTTTATTTTTAATAGTAATTGCTACTAATTGCTACCAGGAATCTTCATAATAATAGCAGTATATATTCTTATTTAAATCTCATAGGCACCCTCTGAAGTAAGCATCATTAACCCTATCTGAGAGCTGAGGAAAGTGACAATGAGATTATAGGACTTGCCTGAGGTCATATAACCAATAAGGAGGCAATGCAGCCAACAGCCTACCAGAGCCTGGGCAAAGGGTGGTCCTACAGCACATTAGCTGGCACCTGAATAACTTCAGGGCATAGAGTCAATGCATAAGAAAAGCTATAGCCACTTACACTGATTGGGGCTTTCTTTAATTTTTGTCCTCTTGCCTTCTTTTCCTGCAGTCGCTGGACATCTTTCTGCTGCGCTGTCCGTGGCAGCAGCTGGCTTCTTTGAAATGCACAGAAAACACTTCCCTCCAGTGGAGCAGCCTCTTGCAGGCAAAGTGCTCACCGTTTCCTCCATGCCCTGCTCCCACCTGGTCCTTCAGTACCTTTTACTTGGAGTGGCTGAAGCCCTGGTCAACCCAGCCTGTGAGTAGCGACTTCATCACCTCGTGTTAGAACATACTGAGCTTCAGCACAGAACACATCACCTCATGCGGCTGGCAACCTATTCACTGCCTGGAAATTTCCTATGTCTCAGAACAAGCCTATTTATCACACTTCTTTTTTTTTATGTTTACTTTTTCTTGGTTTCCTCTATCACATACAGAGCAATTATTAATTCTATGTGAATGTAAATGAAATGAAAGATTTACTAACCTCATTAAAAACGGTAACCGTTTGGTCAGATGCATGAGAGGAGGGAAAACTTTGCTAAAACCTAGGCGAAAACTCCAATATCCTCATGAAGTCTCTTCTCTTCTACTTCCCTCTTCTCACCTCCCTCCCTCTCACTCATAGATAAAGTCACTCCCTCCAAAAATGACATTTATAATGTAGTTTGAGAGTCTATGAACATGCAAATGAAATGAAAGTGTGAAAGTTTTCCAGATAACTTTATGTCTTTAAATTAAATTACACTAAATTAAGTGTGACCACTAGTGTTTCATAAGACAGGTACAAAATACCTTCATTAAATATCAAAGGCTTTCTGGATTGTCTAGATTGCTAATATTAACTAAGTTAGTCACTTTAAAATTCATCAGAATATTTCAGTGACTTCTTGAAATAGAGTAATGTGTGTGTATGTGTATATTTATCAGTGTAACCTATTGTCTTATATTTCTACCTTCTTTATATTTCCCTGAAGTAGGAGCTCTGATTGTAACTCAAGCCCAATTATAGTTTACCAAGACTATTTTATAACTTCCTATCTTTCTACTTTTAATATCTCTCACATTCTATCTATACAACCTTTAGAGTAATCATCCTAAATGACAATTCTAATCATTTCACTTGTGTCTAAAAACTTCAATTACTCTATTATACTCAGAGTTATTTTTAAATTTCTTAACTATATATATGCTTAATATATATAGTTAAGAAATTTAACTATACACGTACATATATATATCAAAGCAATTCATTGCAAAAAGTCAAAATAAAATTAAGCTTGTACAATTATAGCCATATATGTGTTAGAAACTTCTTTTTTAAAATTTTAAATCATCTCATTGCATGTACGAATAAATTATTTTATGAGATTCTAAGGTGTGGATATCATTTGACACTATGAGGAATAAAAAAAAGGTATAAAAGAATGCCACTATACAAATGTTTGTAACTTCTCTGATGCTGTTTCAAGAAAACTATTGGAACTAGCCAAAATTTTGTGGTCTAGAGGAAGAAAGATAATGAATAAAGGTGATGAGTGAATATAGTCAGGAAATTTCCCTACAACTTAGCAATACCAGTTCAATATATGATGGGCAGATCATGTAATATAAATCTCTTAGCTCACCCTCCCTGATTTACCTATTAGGAAATCGAGGTCCCACTATGTCAATTGACTACAGAGGTCATGGGTAGGGACCATAAGACTTTGTTTGGATTTTTAGCTTTGCACTTACTACAAGTGTGACCTTGAGAATTAATTTAACCTTTAAGTTTCACCTTTCTGATCTTTAAAAGGGAAATAATTACAATTCTTCTTTATATCACAGTATCAGTGTAAGAATCAATGGGAATGTGGACTACTCCTTGAGAATTAGATGACATAAAATGTGAAAAGGTGTTTTGAACTGTAAAATCAAGAATTACTCTTGCAGTACAACATAATGGTTAATATCTATGATCTTAAAGTAAGACAGATCTGAATTAAACCCCAGTTCTGCCACTGCCGAGTTGTGTGACCTTGGAAAAATTGTTCTGCATTTCTGAGCCTTTTTCATCATCTGTAAAATGTGGAAGGTTGTTGTAAGGACCAGGTGAAATATTTTATGTAAAGGAAAAAGCGGTGTACCTGGTTTATAGATGGCATTCAATAATTAGCAGCTATAATGTGTGCTGTTATTATTGTTATTTTTATCATTATATTTCACATAAGTTAATAGCGCGAGACTCAGACTCAAGGATCAAGCACAGCTCATAGCTCTTTCTACCACATTATTACAACTCAAACATCAGGAGACCCGGTAAGGTGAGCAGAATTGTGTCTTTCTCAAATTAGTCATTCTAGATTCTTTTTTTCCTCTTATTTCTCACCTCCAATCCAACAGCAAGTCTTAGTCTTTACTCTAAAATATACTCCAAATTTGACTATGTCTCACTGTCCCTTTTGCTATCTGCCTAGCTCTAGCCTCAATTCTATCAGAGCCTCCTAACTTGTCCTCCTGTGCCCTCTCCTGCTCCATGAGTCCATTCTCTTCAAGAGAGCTATCATGTTCTTTCTAATACATAAGTCCTATCATTTTCCTGCTTAAAAGTTTCTAAGACTACAGAGATAAATTTCTTAATTGGTGAATAAGGCTTCACATGATTTAGCCTCTGTACTACTCCAACTACATTTTATACCATTCTTCCCCTTGCCCACTTTACTAGAAATGTGATGATCTTTATTCTATGTTTCTAAGATGTTAAACTTATTTTTGTTCCAAGGCCTTTGTTTCTGCTCTTCTCTCTACCTAGAATCCCCTTTCCTCTATGTTCAAATGGTTGGCTTCTGCTAATCGAGTTTTCTCAAAGATCATCTCTTCAAACAGGCTCCCCTGGTCATCCTGTCACTTTCCAGCCCATATTTTTAGAGTGCTTGTCAGAATCTGAAGTCGTCTTACTTATATATGTGTTATGTTGCCTGCCTCTCACCAGGAGAATGTATAGTCTTGGAGTCAAGAGTCTTATCCTTCTGTTCATCCTTTTACTCTTTTGTGTTCTTCCTTCCTAAAAAGTGCACATACAAGGTAGGTGACCAATAAATATACTTAGCTGAATAAACAAATGAGTGAATAATATCTATAGCTATCTCTATTTGACTATAATAGAAATACATTATTCAAATTACTGACAATATCCTACATTGATAGCATGAAGCAGAAAGCACAATGGATCATTCCCCAAATTTCAGTGGCTATTTCCTTCTCTACTAAGCCATGCTATATATTAGATATGATCTACGGGGGGGGGAGGGGGAATAAAACAGAAAACTTTTCAGATTATGTCTTCATTATAGCAGCCCATACCCCAATTATCTCATAACTTGTGTTCATTTATTTATTCCAAAAAATACTGCGTGGGTATCTACAATATGCCTGACACTGCTCTAGATGCTTAAGACACACCAATTTTTAAAAAATCTGCCACTGTGAACTTACATTCTACCAAAGGGCAAAAGATAATAAACAATAAATGTAAAACATAAATTATACAACATGTTAGAAGGTGATGAGCACTATAGATAGAGGAAATGTAGGGCAGGATAAGGGAGATTAGGAATGTCATGCATAAAAGGGAGCAAGTTGTAGCATTAATTGATGATCAGGATAAACCTCAATGAAAGGTAATATTTGAGCTGAGACTTGAGAGAGTTGAGGAAGTCAGCCACACAGACATCTGTAAAGAACATCATTGCTGGCAGAGGAGTCAGTAAATGCAAAGAGAGGAGTGTGTCTGGCAAGAAAGTGCAAGGAGTTTGGTGCAGTTGGAGGAAAGTGAGAAAGAAAGAAACTGGTAAGATAAGAGTTAGAGTAACCATTGTAAAGACTGAGTTGGGCCCTGAGTGAAATGGGAAAAGGAGTGACATGATATTAATTACACTTTTAAAGAATACCTCTCTGTGTGTGGAGAATACACTACAGGGAGGGAAAGAATAAAACTGAGACTGTAGTCTAGATAAGACAAACAAGTGTCTAGGCCAGAGAAATAGCGGGATAGGTGGTGAACTATCGTCAATTTATTTATATTTTAAAGACAAAACCAATAGGGTATGAGAAAGAGAGGATTTAATAATGACATCACAGCTTATGACCTGAGCAACCAGAAGGATGGAGTTGCCATCTACAGAGCCATAAAAGGCTACAGGTAGGACAAGCTTTGGGGAGAAGGTCATGAGTTTAGTTTTGGACATTTTGAGGACAAGATGTCAAATAGAAATGTCAAACAGGGATTGGATATCCAGGTCTTTAATTTGGTACTGAGATAAGGGATAGATGCAAATTTGAGAGTGATAAGCATATTGGTAGTATTTAAAGTAACAAGACTAGTTGAGATTATCAAGGGAGTTAGGGTACATAGAAAGTCTGAGGAGCCAGAGATGCAAATTAAAGAACTGAGCCCTGAGGCATTCCATCATTAAGACATTCTAGAAAAGATGAGAAATTTGCAAAGGAGATAGGAAAGAAGTGACTTAAAGAAGATGTGGTACATATATACAATGGAATACTACTCAGCCATAAGAAAAGATGAAACAATGCCAGTTGCAACATGGTCTTGAGAATATCATGTTAAGTGAAATAAATCAGATTTAAAAAGTCAAGAAGCATATGATTTCACTCATATGTAGGATATAAAACTGAAAGCAACAAATGAACAAACAAGACAAATTATCCACTTGTCTCAGATCAAAACTCATAGACACAGACACAGTGTGGTGGTTACCAGAAGGAAAGAGGGCTGGGAGGGAGGTAGCAAAGGGTAAAAGGAGTCAAATATATGGTGGCGGAAGGAGATTTGACTTTGGGTGGTAAACACACAATGCAATAAACAGATGATGTCTTATAAAATTCTCTGCTTGAAACCTATATAATTTTATTAACCAATGTCACCTCAATAAACTTAAAAAGTTGGGTTTTTTTAAAGAATCTTTATCTCAGGGAGGCTGAGCAATTTTCCCAAGTCAAACCATAGCTACAAAACAGTTTTGTACATCACAACTTCACAATAAATAATATTTGAAATGTGTTCTTCTGAGAGAACAATAAAAAATGCTATCAGTTGGGGGTGCCAGGGAGAAGTGACGGGTGAGAAAAGAAGAAAACCAAGAGAATAACCTCTTAGAAGTCAAATGAAGAAAAGGTGCTAAGGAGGAGGGAGGGATCAGCTGTGTCAAGCACTGTGGTTAGATCTAACAAGATGAGAACTGAGAATTGATCATTAAGTGATCTGTGGGTTATTGGTGATTCTGGCAAGAGCCTGTTTAAGTGGGCTATGTGGATGCACCTAAGCATAATTGGAATAAATTTGAGAAGAACTGGAGACAATTCATTCAAAGGATTTTGCTACAAAGGAGAACAAAGAAATGGAACAGCAGCTGACAAAGGAGGCTAAGGAAAGGGTTGTTTATTTTTGTTTTCAAGGAAGGAAAAATAATGGCATCACACAGTACGTTGGTGGGAATAATTCAATAGGGAGGTGAATTTATGGCGTCAGGGAGAGGGAAAATACTGAAGGGAGAGAGGCCGAGATCTAATTTACAAGTGGAGAATTTGGTTTTAGAGAGTAGCAAGGCTATTTCATCAATGGTAACAGTTTGGAAGGCAGAGTGTGTAGGTGCAGAAGCTCATGGGTGCGTAAGTATGGTGTGAAGATTCTGTGGACATCCTCTTCTGGCTGATTCCATTTTTTCAGTGAAGTAGGATGCAGAAGAATGAAATTGTTGTCCAGGACAATGGGAGAGTGAACGAACTAGAGGATACAGAATGTTGTCAGGAAGCATTAGTAGGCTGCTTGAGGTTTATGGGCAGGAATTTAAAATCAGTTGGACAACATGGTTATGGATTTTTCTTCTGCCACATTAGGCTGCATGGATATAGGATCAGAGATGGCAGACAGTGAATTCTTTTGCCAATCAGGTTCTAGAAAGCAAGAGACAGGCAAGGGAATGAGAGTCTGAGAAGGAATATGATTATAACGATTGACCATGAAACTTAACGTGCGTAAGAAGATTAGTGAGGACTTGAGGGCATGAAGGAAGTGACAATAATAAAAGGAGCAATGCAGCAGAGGTCCTGGAGGAGTACAACCATTTGTATGGTTGAGTGGTAGACAACGAGCTGGGAGGGTAGAAGGCGGCAAAGGGGAGTGCCAAAGTTGAGATTACGGAGTGGTTACAGTTATTGGAATAAGATGGGTTCTCAAACTTTTACTGAAAAGTGTCAGGTAGTAAATAGTCAGGTTTTTCACACCAGTCTGTCACAACTGCTCAACTCAGTCATACACAAGCAGTCGTAGAATGGATGTGGCTGTATTCCTATAAAACGTTATTTATAAATAGGTGTCAAGCTGGACCTTATGTGACTATAGTTCACCAACCCCTGGTCTGGGGAACAAGATTCAGAGTGTGACCATGGTTATGAATGGATAGAGTAGGGGACAAGGACAGTTAAGAGGAAAGAGGTCAAGGAATGAGAAACCAAGATTTGGCAGAAGGGAAGGTTGGAAGGATGACCTGTATGTATAGTAAAACTGCCAAGAATTAAGACAGGAGCTGTACTGGAGGGACTGATGATGAGAAAGGAGCTGATAACTGAGAAATAGAGAAAAATGGTCTAAAAGTTGGCAGATGACAGCATGAAAGAGAAGTATTAGGTCATATAATCAGATTATATGAGAATCAAATCTTAAGCTTTTTAGACATGAGAAAGGAAAGTGGTAACTGGATAAAGTTCCATTTTCTGGACTGCAGTACTTCTCCACTTGGTCAAAATAACTTCTTACCAAACACAATAAACACATTTCACTATTTAAAAACAATAGGAGTAAAAGTAATTTCTAACAAGGAGTCCCCAGTACCAGGTGCCTCAAGAAGGAGGTTATCGCTCCATAATTTGTAGATTCTGTATACGCTGTGATGGGACATCTTTGCAAACATTAACCAGCCTCCACCTGGAGGCACATTTCAGCTCTCCCTGGCAAGAAGACCAGCTTTTACATACATTTTGAATAGTTTTTACTGGGTCTTCATAGTAAAATGAGAATCTGAGAGTAGTGGCAGACCTGTTGATAATATCTACAGCATAGTGTGCTTACAAGAAGTGTCGTGGAGCCCAAAAAATCAAGTTGATGATTACTAAAGTCGAAAAAGATCAGAACATGCAAGAAGATGCCTGAATCTAGAGATCCGAGGACTTGAAAAGCTAAGTCCCATAAAAGGGAACTGAAGGCTTTCAAAACGATGAAAATGACACCAAAGAGAGATTAACCAGCAGGCAGAGGCTGGCAAAGTGTGCTCATGAATTATATACCGCACCAGAAGTTCTAGCAAGAGAAAAGCATAGGATTAATAATTAACTAGCCGAGCAATAATGGGCTTGTACGTTCTGTGTTTTCTCCGTGAAAGAAAATCGGCTTAGTCTTTCTGCCCATTGTTTGTCTCCTCATATTTATAGAGAGGAAAGTTCATGAGCCAAATCCTTCTTGTAACTGTGAATAATTTCTTCCCAAAGCCTCTTCAACATTTCTCTTGTTATCTCCTTTGGATCTTCCTGAAAAAACTTGCGGCCTGGCCTCAGGCTCCTGCTGGTGATTTGCACTGCGCCAGAAAGCTGGGGCGCCCCGGGCCCCTTGCCGCCAGTATTTGAAGCCCTCTCCAGTTTTCTATCGATCACCATCATTACCTTCATCTCCAAGAAGTATTTGTGGTATCGAGTGCCTGTTTAGCACTGCCCTTGGTACCTTCGCTCTCCACCCTCCCAGAGTTGAAAACCCAGGAAAGGCGTACCCAGGCCTTTCGCACCCTGGGCGCCAGCACTCGGCACATTTCCTAGGGCACAGGCAGGGACGCCTTTCAGTGTTTATGGGACGTTAAATAAAAACATGGGAGGACACGCAGAGGGCAAAACAGAAACATTAAATGAAGGCAGGAGGGAACATTCGTACATTTATATTATGTATTAGTAAGTTGGTTTAAAAGTGCGTCGCGAGTACATTTACTGGGGTAAAGTACAGCTGGTAAACCAGGGGTGAAATCTGCCAGAGAGGGAAGGGAGGAGATAAGTTCTCTTTCTTCTTACAGAGAAGGAAACTGAAGGTTTCATGTTCACCACTTTTCTATCACCACTTTTCTTTTTAGAATGGGCTTTAATGTTTGTTTATGACCTCTCATTGTAGAAAAACTTGCCAAGTACAAAAGAGCAAGGAGAAGAAAAATTAAAAACCCAATAATTCAACCATTTAAAGCTAAAAATGTTCCCGTTATTCAACATTTTTTCTTATAATTGTTTGTTACACATATACAAAGAGAGAGATTAGTGTAATAAATTCCTGTGTACCCATGTTCCAGCCTCAACAATTTTCAACTCACAGCCGAACTTGTTTTATATCTACCCTCATTTGCATTCTCAGTTCCTCCTTGTATAATGTTGAAGCACATCCCAGATACCATATTATAATATATAGTAAATAGTTGAACATATATGCCTAAGATTGCCATGCACACTTAATAGTTATGTTAATATGGTATGTACAAAATTATACATACTTATTTTCATCTATTTCTGATATCAAAATTATTTTTAATTAAATTTTTCTTTTTGATGGAGGTATAATTGACATATAACATTATATTAGTTTCATAGTTTCAGATGTATGGCCTAATGATTATATATTTGTGTACACTGCAAAATGATCACCACAAATCTAGTTACCATAGGTCACCATAAAAAATTATGAATTTTGGTGGGGTTTCTGTGTGTGTGTGTGTGTGTGTGTGTGTGCGCGTGTGTGTATGCACGTGTGTGATGAGAACTTAAAAGATTTGCTCTCTTGGCAACTTTCAAACATGCACTACAAAATTACTGACTATAGTCATTGTGCTGTACATTACATCCACATTAGTAATTTATTTTATAAACAAAAGTTTGTGCCTCTTGATATCCTTCACCAATTCTACCTACCCCCTGACACCCCTCTCCTCTGGCAACCACCATCCTGTTCTCTGTATCTATGAGTTTTGTTTTAAATGTTTGTTCATATATAAGTGAACTCATAGGGTATTTGCCTTTCTCCATCTCACTTATTTCACTTAGTGTAATACCCTCAAGGTCATGCAGGTTGTAACACATGGCAAATTTTCGTTCTTTTTTATGGCTGAGTAGTATATTGGGACATCCAACCACTGATTCCTGTAGCTGTACAAGGATATATTTTGTCATATTTGATTCCTTGTAGACACTTATAAATTTTAAGATCATAGTATATCTTACTGTAGTAGTTTTAACAAACTCCAACTCAAATTTTAATTCTATCAGTAAACTTTCTTTGAAATATAATCAACACTAATTTGAACAGCATCTATGAAAGTATATTACAGAGAATGTTCTAAATTCTGACCTCCTTTTTTCTCAGTCTCTATAATATCATACAGATTTGTTCCAAGTACCATCAGAGGAACCCTGACGAATTTTTTGACCCTGTTCAATGGATTGGCTTGTTTCACGGGGGCACTGCTGGTGGAGTTGGTATATCTCATCTCACAAGGTAAAAATAGGTTTATGGTATGTTTATATATATTGATTTGATGACTAGACAATTGGGAAACAAAACCTTAAGAAGAGGGGTTTTGCCAGTGTATTCTTTTTTTTAATTGCTCCACTTTTGCAATTAAAATAGAATTAAAATAGAAAAAAGACTCTTGCTGTATTCATTAGTTTCTGAGAACTGTTTTTCTTTTGATAGGAAGAGGTAATTATAGAATGTAACTTCTCATAAGACCCCATCCACTGTCTTTCCTTAGTGTATTTTAAAACAAACTGGTCATTATATCCTTATCAGGTCTTTCAGTGAGGCCATATTTAATAATGCCTCATAGTTGGCATAGGTAATCCTCAGAAAAGGTAAGTCCTGTGTAAATAGGGGTATCTGGATGATCTTTTTTCCTTATAATTCACTAGAAATCTTGTCTATGCAACCAAAGAGAAATTGTGCATTGAATAACAAGTGATCTTGGAAAAATTTTCCCCATAGAGACTTTGGTCAGAAGAAGCAACCAAACTGAAAAGTTCATGTGCAACCATAAGAAGTACTACTCTTACATGTCCTAGTAAAAAAATCAGACATGATGACAATAATGATTAGCGGTCACAGTGAATGTCTTTGGCTGTATTTTAAATCTACAGACTTTTCCCTTGATTTGTTCTAAGATATTAATATAGTTTAATTTTTTTATTTACTTTTGCTTATTATATAGAAAATACTACAAGTTTTATTCTTTTCTACTTTCAAAAATACTTAAGTTGTGCACTTAAAATACTGTAAAAAAAGTGTTGGTTTGTGTGCTCTTGTAGCCAACACACTTAATTTACTTACTTTCAAACTACAGAAAAAATAACTGCTATGAATGAGAAACCCCTTTTAACACTAAGTCTCTATTCAAAAAATAGAGGGTGTCCCAAAAACAGTATACACACTGAATAATTATAAAGGCAGTGTTTATTAAAATATATTTCATCTTTAAAATGTAATAGAATCAGCTGTTAAAGTATATAGATTTTGGGGGGATACCCTCTATTTATCAAGGACCTCCTTTGTTTCAGGCACAATACTGGGCACTGACAATACCATGACAAACAAAATAAACACTTCCAAACCCTCATAAAATTTCCAGGGTCATAGGGAAACAATAAAATTAAGAGTGATAAATTCAATGGTAAGTGTAGCAGAGTTTTAGGGAACAAATGTACAATCCATGATTGATGAACAAGATTAAACCCTGCCCTTGTTTTAGTTAACTAAGTAAAAACATGTATTGAATACTTACTATGTACCAGGCCCTGAACTACATTCAATTATGTGAGATATAGTTCCAATTCTCAAAGAGCTCAAACCCAAACTGTCATAACTAACTGTGTAAACTGTGGTAGGTTGTTGACTTCTCTGGTGATTAGATTCTTTATATGTAAACAGGTAATTAAGCATTGGTATTAGAATTTATGACAGCCTGGAAAGGCTTACCTATATCGCCACCTAAAACATCTTAGGCGTTGAACATATGGTTCTTTCCTTCACATTACGCAATGAAGATGTTTCTGAAAATTTGCTAAACGTGTAAATTTCTATTATCAAATCACATTTCATATACTCTAGAAGTACTACAAAGTCAAATATTACTACCAGTTAATCTCTTACATAAATCTAAATTTTTCATATGCGTTCTTGAGCAACTTACCCAGAGTTAGGCCAAACCTCACTGGTTAAGTTCCCCACTAAACTGTCCTCACTTTAGACATCAGCCACAAGTTGAGGGGTCCCCAGAACTGCCATCACTTCTGATAAGCTGGCTATAAATTTGGAGGTCCCCACAGACTTCCTCGGGTTTTATAATTTGCCAGAATGACTTGTAGAACTCAGGAAAGCACAGCACTTAGATTACATCTTTATGAAAGCAAAATAATACAATTCAGATTGAGCCAAAGGAAGAGACACCTAGAACAAAGTCTGGGAAAGTTCCAAAAGTAAAACTTCCCTTATCCTCAGGGATGCAGTATTACCAACCAGGAAAACTTACTTGAGCTTCAGAGTTTTTACTGAGGTTTTATTATGTGGTCACGATTGGTTGAATCACTGGCTATGTAGTTGAACTTAATTTCCAGCATCTTTTCCAACCCCAGAGGTTGAGCTGATATGTGACCCAAAGCCCCAGTCCCCTAATCACATGGCTGGTCTTCCTGGCTGGCCAGCCCCCATTTGAGTCATCTGTTAGCACAAGCCATCGGGTGGGGTTTGAGGGCTCACCACCAATAACAAAGATACTCCAATCACTCAGGAAATTCAAAGGGTTTCGAATTTACCTTCTAGGGATCAGGGACAAGACCAAGCAAATTCTACACTCCACTATTTCACTCAAAACCTAAATATCTATTGCGAATTTACATAGCATGGTAGCACAGGAAACATTACTGCATTTATTACAACAATCTTATAAAGGTGGTATTACAACCTATGTTTTAAAATGTAACAATTTAAGCAGAAAAAAGACAGTGAAGTACTCCAGTCATCACAACTATTACCTGACAGAGATCTGAGCCTCTCAGGGTTCTGAAACCAATGTCAATATTGATTACAACACACCAAAGATCTATTAGGAGTCACCCTAATACAACCACCTTGGATGAGGGTCTACATATAAGATGTTATTGATAATATTCTAGATACAGTAAAAGGTAGATAAACAAAAGTTTATATAATTCTGGCAGAGTTTGGTGCCCATGAAAGGTTTGCTAAGGACATATGGTGAAGACATCTTAGCAAAATAAGATGTGCAGTGGGGCACTCTAAACCTGTATTCAGAATACCATATAAATTACCACTAATTAATTTTACTTCTTATTTTAAGAGTTTTCCTGTTCCTGATAATACTGTTATATCAAATCATATCCCAGTAAGTTAGAATGCTACAATTGGATATTACCTTAAAGGTCATCTAGTCTAACACTGTACCAAAAACTATTAGATATACTAGCATCTGCTAGTACCTCGGAAAATTCTCTACTTTGAGATACAACCTGAGTCTGCCCATCTGTTGAGAACTATGTTCCACAGAATAAGTCTAATGTTCTATCCACATAGCAACTCTTCAGACATTTGACAAATATTCAAAGAAAGAATGTGGCACAGGGTTAAAAATGTAGGTTCTGGAGTTGAATCCAGGTAGTCTATCTATGTGTCCTCAGTTTCCATGCCAACAATAACAATAAATAATTCATCATGTTGTTCTGAGGATTAAGGAATTAATACATGTGATAAGATAGCTATTATGTTAGTCTTCTATTTTATATACGAACCACCCCAGTTTTCTCCCATTGCATGATTACCTGATTTTTCACTATAAAAACCCCTCCATCATTAAACAAGCAACAATTTGTCAGTATCTTTCTTAAAATACGGTTTCCAGAATCAAACACAATGCTCAAGATGATTGATATGTCACTTTGATTAACATTCTCTCTCTCTCTCTCTCTGAATGCCAACAAGGATTATGTTGACTTTTTCAGTAGCTGCATCATGCTTATGGTCAATTAAAACCCGAAGGTTTTTTTTTATTTTTAGNGAATGCCAACAGGGATTATGTTGACTTTTTCAGTAGCTGCATCATGCTTATGGTCAATTAAAACCNCTGAATGCCAACAAGGATTATGTTGACTTTTTCAGTAGCTGCATCATGCTTATGGTCAATTAAAACCCGAAGGTTTTTTTTTATTTTTAGCAGCCTTTCTCCATTCAGTTCCACTCATCTTATCACAATTTTTTTTTCTAATTAAATGCAAGAATTTATCTTTATCCTTAATAAATGTCAGCCCATCATCCTAAATAACACATTTTAAAAACTTGATTCTGTCATCCATTAAATTACTAATCTTCACTTCTTTACTAGCTTTGTGTCATCTGCCAATGTAGTAAGCAAGTAACTAGACTTCTTCCAGGTAATTGATAAAATGTTGAATTGGACAGAACCAAAAATAGGGCCTATGGAAAATTCCTAAACACCTCACTGCAAGTTAATGACAATTAACTAATCCTTCCCTTTGGGATTTAATCAGCTCCCACTTCACTTACTTACTATATTCAGCCCACGCACTTCTCCATCTTCCCTGAGTGACATCACAGGACTCATTGTTACATATTTCTCTCAGAATAGGATATGGCTTTGTTTACGACAGTCCCTTTAGCCATCAGAATTGCACTTATCAAGAAAGGAAATGAAGTTCCTTTACATGATTTGGTTCTAGTGACCTTACACTGATGTATAGTGACTAACTAGAGCCCTTAAAAGAGAGGGATCCTTTTACCCTATGCCTGACTTTGGGTTAAGTCATCATCTCTCTAAGACTGCTTCCTTTTATTTAAAAAAGGAAATGTTTTGCTTTGCTTTTCTCAGAGATGTTAAGATCAAATTAAATAAGGCATTTTAAAATTTAATGTCAGAGATTATTTTAAATATAAAATTAAGTCATATATTATAGTGGCCCCTTTGGTTAAAACAAAATCAGTTCATTAGTCAAACCACCAGATCAATTTTTTGACAGAGCTGACCATAATGAAACCAAGACTACTGCTATGTGCTCAGACACCCCACATGCCTCCACATCCCATTTAGCACATAGGATATTTTAAACCTTACGCATTCATGTCAGCTGAGCGTGTGTGTATACGAGAGTGTGAGTGTTAGTGCATGATTGGAAAGGGTAATCAGCTCTCACAGGCCCCCCGTCTCCAAGCTGCATTAGTCATTTTTAGCACCGTGGTGGAGAATGGTGTGAATGTGGAAATGCAAAAGATTTCTTAAAACTTGACTGTGCAGACAGAGAGCTGCTGGAGTGACATTTTCAGTACAAGTGAGAAAACTGATCCTTCTGGGATCTCTAACTCCGAGTGCTTTAAAGGAGAAGATACAAGACTAAACCCATCCTCCTACGCTAATCATTTCAGGAATAGTTTATCTAAAAGTAGCAATGCTAATATAAAGGAGTGAAGAAGTCAGT